GTGAACAGAGTTATATCAGATTTTTCGTCGAATCGTTCAATTTATCGTGAGTCGTGTCTGATTGTTCATTTAATAATAAAAATTATAACTTTTCTGCCAACGTAAAAGTAATTTGGTATTATTGTATGATACTTAGGCATTAACTATACAAAATTAGAAAGTAATCCTATCGTTGTGAACAGAGTTATATCAGATTTTTCGTCGAATCGTTCAATTTATCGTAAGTCATGTCTGATTGTTCATTTAATAATAGAAATTATAACTTTTCTGCCAACGTAAATGTAATTTCGTATTATTGTATGATACTTAAGAATTAACTATACAAAATTAGAAAGCAATCCTATTTTTGTGAATCGAGTTACAGCAGGTTTTTTATCGAAATTCAGTATTTTTTGTTGGTTACTTACGTTTACTCATTAATTGTGTTAATTCTATTTTTTCTGCCAACTTAATACCTATTTAGTATTATTGTACGATACGTAGGCATAAACTATACAAAATTAGGAAGCAATCCTATTGTTGTGAATAGAGTTACATCAGGTTTTTCGTCGAATCGGTCAATTTATCGTAAGTCATGTCTGATTGTTCATTTAATAATAAAAATTATAACTTTTCTGCCAACGTAAATGTAAGTTCGTATTATTGTATGATACTTAAGGATTAACTATACAAAATTAGAAAGCAATCCTATTTTTGTGAATCGAGTTACAGCAGGTTTTTTATCGAAATTCAGTATTTTTTGTTGGTTACGTACGTTTACTCATTAATTGTGTTAATTCTATTTTTTCTGCCAACTTTATACCTATTTAGTATTATTGTACGATACGTAGGCATAAACTATATAAAATTAGGAAGCAATCCTATTGTTGTGAACAGAGTTACATCAGGTTTTTCGTCAAATCGGTCGATTTATCGTAAGTCATGTCTGATTGTTCATTTAATAATAAAAATTATAACTTTTCTGCCAACGTAAATGTAAGTTCGTATTATTGTATGATACTTAAGGATTAACTATACAAAATTAGAAAGCAATCCTATTTTTGTGAATCGAGTTACAGCAGGTTTTTTATCGAAATTCAGTATTTTTTGTTGGTTACGTACGTTTACTCATTAATTGTGTTAATTCTATTCTTTCTGCCAACTTAATACCTATTTAGTATTATTGTACAATACGTAGGCATAAACTATACAAAATTAGGAAGCAATCCTATTGTTGTGAACAGAGTTATATCAGATTTTTCGTCGAATCGTTCAATTTATCGTAAGTCGTGTCTGATTGTTCATTTAATAATAAAAATTATAACTTTTCTGCCAACGTAAAAGTAATTTGGTATTATTGTATGATACTTAGGCATTAACTATACAAAATTAGAAAGCAATCCTATTGTTGTGAACAGAGTTATATCAGATTTTTCGTCGAATCGTTTAATTTATCGTAAGTCGTGCCTGATTGGTCATTTAATAATAAAAATTATAACTTTTCTGCCAACGTAAAACCTATTTAGTATTATTGTACGATACGTAGGCATAAACTATACAAAATTTGAAAGCAATCCTATTGTTGTGAACACAGTTATATCAGATTTTTCGTCGAATCGGTCAATTTATCGTAAGTCATGTCTGATTGTTCATTTAATAATAAAAATTACAACTTTTCTGCCAACGTAAAAGTAATTTGGTATTATTGTATGATACGTAGGCATTAACTATACAAAATTTGGAAGCAATCCTATTGTTGTGAACAGAGTTATATCAGATTTTTCGTCGAATCGTTCAATTTATCGTAAGTCGTGTCTGATTGTTCATTTAATAATAAAAATTATAACTTTTCTGCCAACGTAAATGTAAGTTCGTATTATTGTATGATACTTAAGGATTAACTATACAAAATTAGAAAGCAATCCTATTTTTGTGAATCGAGTTACAGCAGGTTTTTTATCGAAATTCAGTATTTTTTGTTGGTTACGTACGTTTACTCATTAATTGTGTTAATTCTATTCTTTCTGCCAACTTAATACCTATTTAGTATTATTGTACGATACGTAGGCATAAACTATACAAAATTAGGAAGCAATCCTATTGTTGTGAACAGAGTTATATCAGATTTTTCGTCGAATCGTTCAATTTATCGTAAGTCGTGTCTGATTGTTCATTTAATAATAAAAATTATAACTTTTCTGCCAACGTAAAAGTAATTTGGTATTATTGTATGATACTAAGGCATTAACTATACAAAATTTGAAAGCAATCCTATTGTTGTGAACAGAGTTATATCAGATTTTTCGTCGAATCGGTCAATTTATCGTAAGTCGTGTCTGATTGTTCATTTAAAAATAAAAATTGTAACTTTTCTGCCAACGTAAAAGTAATTTGGTATTATTGTATGATACTTAGGCATTAACTATACAAAATTAGAAAGCAATCCTATTGTTGTGAACAGAGTTATATCAGATTTTTCGTCGAATCGTTTAATTTATCGTAAGTCGTGCCTGATTGGTCATTTAATAATAAAAATTATAACTTTTCTGCCAACGTAAAACCTATTTAGTATTATTGTACGATACGTAGGCATAAACTATACAAAATTTGAAAGCAATCCTATTGTTGTGAACACAGTTATATCAGATTTTTCGTCGAATCGGTCAATTTATCGTAAGTCATGTCTGATTGTTCATTTAATAATAAAAATTACAACTTTTCTGCCAACGTAAAAGTAATTTGGTATTATTGTATGATACGTAGGCATTAACTATACAAAATTTGGAAGCAATCCTATTGTTGTGAACAGAGTTATATCAGATTTTTCGTCGAATCGTTCAATTTATCGTAAGTCGTGTCTGATTGTTCATTTAATAATAAAAATTATAACTTTTCTGCCAACGTAAAACCTATTTAGTATTATTGTACGATACGTAGGCATAAACTATACAAAATTAGGAAGCTATCCTATTGTTGTGAACAGAGTTACATCAGGTTTTTCGTCGAATCGGTCAATTTATCGTAAGTCATGTCTGATTGTTCATTTAATAATAAAAATTACAACTCTTCTGCCAACGTAAAAGTAATTTGGTATTATTGTACGATACGTAGGCATTAACTATACAAAATTTGGAAGCAATCCTATTGTTGTGAACAGAGTTATATCAGATTTTTCGTCGAATCGTTCAATTTATCGTAAGTCGTGTCTGATTGTTCATTTAATAATAAAAATTATAACTTTTCTGCCAACGTAAAACCTATTTAGTATTATTGTACGATACGTAGGCATAAACTATACAAAATTAGGAAGCTATCCTATTGTTGTGAACAGAGTTACATCAGGTTTTTCGTCGAATCGGTCGATTTATCGTAAGTCATGTCTGATTGTTCATTTAATAATAAAAATTATAACTTTTCTGCCAACGTAAATGTAAGTTCGTATTATTGTATGATACTTAAGGATTAACTATACAAAATTAGAAAGCAATCCTATTTTTGTGAATCGAGTTACAGCAGGTTTTTTATCGAAATTCAGTATTTTTTGTTGGTTACGTACGTTTACTCATTAATTGTGTTAATTCTATTCTTTCTGCCAACTTAATACCTATTTAGTATTATTGTACGATACGTAGGCATAAACTATACAAAATTAGGAAGCAATCCTATTGTTGTGAACAGAGTTATATCAGATTTTTCGTCGAATCGTTCAATTTATCGTAAGTCGTGTCTGATTGTTCATTTAATAATAAAAATTATAACTTTTCTGCCAACGTAAAAGTAATTTGGTATTATTGTATGATACTTAGGCATTAACTATACAAAATTTGAAAGCAATCCTATTGTTGTGAACAGAGTTATATCAGATTTTTCGTCGAATCGGTCAATTTATCGTAAGTCGTGTCTGATTGTTCATTTAAAAATAAAAATTGTAACTTTTCTGCCAACGTAAAAGTAATTTGGTATTATTGTATGATACTTAGGCATTAACTATACAAAATTAGAAAGCAATCCTATTGTTGTGAACAGAGTTATATCAGATTTTTCGTCGAATCGTTTAATTTATCGTAAGTCGTGCCTGATTGCTCATTTAATAATAAAAATAATAACTTGTCTGCCAACGTGAAAGTAATTTAGTATTATTGTATGATACTTAGGCATTAACTATACAAAATTAGAAAGCAATCCTATTTTTGTGAAAAAAGTTAAGTCAAATTTACCATGGAAAACTCGAGTTTTCGCTAATAAGCAGCGTTTATTCATTTAATATGATTGTTGAAATATATTTTTTTTAATCTTAAAAGGCCCTGGTTCATTGTATAGTAATTTGATGCAGGAAAATGACTGTTTGCTCCCTTTGTTCACTAAAAAAAACTCAATTTGAGGGGCGTGCCATATACTACGCAGGCTATGTCCGTCGGCTAGCTCCGTCGGCTAGCTTCAGCTTCATTGATTAGCTACCTTCTTTTTTGTTGCGTACAGTAAGGCTCAAGAGTGGGTCATCACATCACATCAACAGCCTTTGATAGTCCACTGCTGGATATAGGCCTCCTCTTAGAAAGAAGGTTTTGGAAGAGTGGGTGCCAGTCATCAATGGAAGTATCACAATCGAAAAATACTAATGGACGGATGACTAACTCAGTATAGGTTTCCTTATGTTAACAATTGCTTTCTTGTTAATGTTCGTTTAAGGCAGTAACATATTATAGATGGATAGCTCGTGTCTCTCTAAAAATATCATCTTGCCTGCCACTCTCTTGACCAGCTCATGATCAATTCATATCATCAGTTTGTGATTGTCTGAAGGAGAGAAATCTTGCCAGGATGGAGGAATCTTCATGCTTTTTAGAAATAATTCCTTACACCAAGATTGAGTATGAGATACCATAAGTTTACATATCACTCACGATTTTAATCCAGATCAGACATTTTTTTTGTCAAATCTATGAAATACTTACTATGTCTACCTAAAACTATACTTACATAAAACATACGTCTTCCTGATTTCTATATCAAAAACTTACCTGAATCATCGTCATGTCCAGTATTCAGCTGCAACGCCAACGACCTGAGCTGTTTGTAAACTTGCACAGCTTCGCTCCTCAGCCAGCCGTCGTCCTGATCCTCAGGTTCAGACTCCATCTCCGCGTGCAATGATCTGGCAGTATCTGTCGTATCGATTGGATCTGGTGCGCCGATCCTCTCGGCTAGTGTGTCGTGGGATCTTTGCAGGCGTTCTAGTTCCTTCAGGGTGTTGTGGTACATGTGTTCCTGGAGAAGAGAAAATGGTAGTGGGTTTAATTCGTGCGAATGTTTAGTTTATTCAGTCAGAATTGACGAAATTAAAATATAATTGGTAAATTAGACAGACCAAAAGTACGATTGAGGAAGGACAGAAGGTTAAGGGAAATCTATCGATCGCTCAGTGATTAACTAGAACTCGCTTTCTGGTCGGAAATTGTCGATAAACATAGTTTATTCTATAACCAGTAAAACAAACTTTGCCATGATAGATTAACTTACATACTGGACGCGTGGAGCGAAATGTCGCCGTCGTCGTTGTAATGTGTTTCGTTCGTTATCGTGTTTTTATGAAAAAATTGTAACACGTATTGATCAAAAACTATAGCTTTCTACACTATTGTATTTCTATTACAGACACTTCTATTGTTATTATTTTTAAGAGATTCTTAATGAAATTTAAATAAAGGTTAAGATCTTGGCGAAACTACCATATCTCCTTAAACCACACAAAGCGATGGCCATCAGATTTTAGGGTTACTCAATCCGTAAAACCTTCTAGGCTTTGAATAGAAATTAGATTTTATTTCCCAACCATTGTTCGCGTACGGATATTACACAGTAAAAGTAATTAATTCTCTTTCGAATTAATGTCGTTAAATAACAGATAAAAAGTAATGCATAAAAACTATGAAAGTATATATAATGTAAGATTAACAGATAGATTGAGAAATGATGAGGTAAGAAAATGGTGTGGATTGAAATACGATGAAAGGACAAGAATTAAGAAATGATGCTGCGATTTGTTTTAGCTTATTGACAGAATGAGCGAATGGCTAAATTAGTTTATAAGGCGAATCGGTAAGGGCAGGCCCCGAAAAACATACTGTCAAGATTAGCAGTATACTGAAGAACGGCCTCGTTAAAAGCATTTTCTATGAAATGTCCGTCGAACAGGGTCGTAGGGTGGAATGTGTAACGTGTATGAAAGATCAGAATGCGGCAAATGGCGGTCTATCCTGTTTGCCTAGCATGTTCATAGGAATATGAATGTGTGGACAATTTTACATGTGTTTTAACTGTCTGCTGGTGTACTAAATGATTTTATTTTGTCTATGTAAAATAAACAAGTAACTTCAAGATAACTAAGTATAAAAGACTAAGTAATACACGAACCTTAATTGACAGGTCAATGATTGGTTTTAAATAAATCTTTTCACAAACATTTCGATATAACTGGCAAATCAAGTTTTATGGTATAAGTGCAAACAAGTCTCTTGAACTGCTGTAGTCTATGTCACTAACCAGGAGGTTCAAAAGACTCAAACGCGTTGCCGTCTTCTTAATGCAGTCCCCTCTCCTTAGAGTTAGGTAGGGTAATTCAAATTCAAATATATATATTGCCGTAACGTTGTGGTAATACAAATGTGGTCTTAAAAGTAAAAGTACAGCACAATTTACCTCATTAGGCGTGCAATAAGTGGTTTATAATTATCATAATTATAAAATTTTTGGTTTTAATCTAATGTATTTTTTTCTACATTAGTGGTAATACAGCAATACTAGTTAAGGTTATATATAAGAGAATGATAAATATATTCTTTAAACACTGGTTAATACCTCAACTTGTACAATTTTAACTTGAGGCGTGCAGCAGCTGCGAGCTCAATGTAAATATTGGCAGTCATGTCGCTATTTACATTGGTCTGTGTGTTTCTATAATAGTCCAGCTATTTTCCACGGCTTCACGGATTATTTCGTGTTTCTAACTGTGAACCTGACGTACTTCCATTAATCCTAAAAACTCTTTCTTAGTGGGTGCTTACAACATAAAAAAAACAGTTGCCAAAATTTCAAGTTTGTAGCACTAGCGGTTTAGGCTATTCGTTAATGAATCAGGTAGTCAGGGCAAGTAATTTTAAATGTATAGATAATTTTCTATGTACTAAGCTATGTTTAGTTTGGGTCTAGAAATCGCTATAATTTTGACTTACCGGTAATCGCCATTTCGAAATTACAAATATGCGGCCCTGACCTTCACGAGCTATTACTTACATTCCACAATCCATCCGAATGAGCGGTATATATCGTGCTTGTGTATTTCATTGCCCACCTTATTGTCAACCTAATAAGGTTGGCAATAAGGTGGGCAGGTAAATAGTGTACCTTATTGCCCATCTTATTGCCCACTTTATGGCTCAAATGATTGCCCACTTTTTCCTTTCAAAGAACTCCAAATTTTCCCATCTGTAATCCCCAAACTGCCCTGTTGGTACAGCTACTACCCATAATTTGATTTGATGGATACAGGTGTAAGTGTATATTGTGTTTTATTAGCTTTCATTTAATATTTAAGTAATAAGTGAAGAAATTAATTACCAATAAAAATATATATTGTGCCAAATTATCTTCGATACTTACATTTGCATCACATATGTTGTATTTGGTAGATTTTAATGAAGCGTTTGATAGTGTGTATGTAATTGTGACCTTCGATGTAATTAACTGTTACTTTAACGTATTTTGACATAATTTATTGTTGTATTATTATTCATTTCATCATACTCGTAAGTAAAAATGTTGAAGTTTTTTATTCATCAGCCTACATGTGGCTTACTATAATATTGTATGATGAATCTTACCGAATCGTACGCAACTATCATAGTTATCAGCAAGTAAACAATGTGAATCATTTAAGAGTTTAAATAATTATTGAGCAAGTACGAGTGCCTGATTTACATCAAAAAAAAAAAATACAAATGATCAACAAAACGTTATTTTTGTTAAAACATTGATAGTGGTTATAGTTAACGAATTATTCGAAACGAAATGCGTGTAATAATCATTATTCCAATCAACATATTTTGAAACGCAAATTTCACTCACCATTAGTTATTAAAGTCCATTTTTATTTATTTTTTATTCTCTTTTAGCTTCATTACATCTACTACTTTTCTATAAAGCTTTTGTGAAATATGATTTTGGGTTTGTCCTTACCTGTTCTTTTAACTGCCTCTCAAGTGCTACAATCCTATCATTGGCTTCCTCCAATTGTTGCATCAGATTCTCTTTGTCCTGCAGCGATCCCATTAACCTCCTCTCCAAGTCTGTTCTTTTGTCTGTGACTAACGCCAGCTCCGCTTTTAAGGATTCCAGGCTTTGCACATGGTCCTGTTGGAAAATTATATAATTATATATTATAATTAAAAATACATGGTCAGTCTCAAAGTAAAAATCAGACTCGCCATGAAGATCAGGTATTCTTGTGCAATACCTAAAGACATAAAAAGGCTGACTTTAAGTTCTTAGATGTGAGGAAGACTTCGTAATGGAGTGTCTCTCATAAAACGGTTGTTCTCGCTCCCAAGTTAGAGATTAAGGGATTTCATTAAGACCTACTTAGTGAGTCACCACTGAATGATATAATGATTTCTATAGGGAAATTATGTTTCCCTTGCCGATATGCTCTGTTTCTATTTACCCTTTTTATTTTATTTTCATTTTTTTTTTACGGACGTCAAGAAGCTTTAATGTTAATGATACTAGTTCCTTGACAAAAACAATATAGTTATTGATAATTTTAAAATATATTTTAGTTTCAAGACATTTATTCCAAGTAATATAAGAATTGACATCTTGGTATTCACGTATCTAATTTCAGATTTGTGATGGTACTCTCGTAGTTATTTTAATTGTTTGTTGATTGTAGCCTATGCTCGTATCATTTCTTTGCAGGTGGTAACATCTGTTTGTTTATTAATTGGAAACGAATTCTTCCTACAAGATATACATTTTCGTACAGAACAATGTAGACATATTTAAGGGTCATATAGCACTCCTTTTGTGTAACGGAGTGGTAACAATGTTAGGAAAATATTTCTTTTCACATGATAAAATCTTATTTTAGAACTGATAGATTGATTAATGTGTTTTCATGTAAGTGAATATGTAATTCTTTATGAAAATAAAGTTTCTTATCCGAACCCGATAAATTGAATTTAAATATGAACTGACCAAGATGCAAAACAGACAGAAAGTACTTAACATGAATGATTGGCTTGAATGCCGACAAGGAAAAGTTATTTACGAAAAAAGATATTAAGGAAAAAAATTTGAACCAAAATCATTTTTTCCAGCTACAACAAGTATTAGCCACCACACATAACGTTACTAAAATATCACTACACCTTACTGCAATGCTTTGTTACAGACTGAACGTCAAGAGTATCTAATTTGATAATTCCTGAACAAACAACTGCGTCTAGTCCACTCACCTGTAAGCTAGTTTTCCTAATCGAGCACTGGTCTTTCAGTCCTTCCAGCTGTGCCAGCAGCTGTTGTTCCATGGCTGAAGACTCTTTGAGCTGTATCGTTAGCCTGGAGTTTTGAGCTGTAAGCTCTGCGATGAGGCTGGCTTTTTCTTCATCCCGCTGGAGACAAAAATGAATAATATAAAATAAGGAACATATTACAAAACTTAACATTATATCGTATGATTAACTCGTGTGTACAGACAAAGGCATTAGTTGAGATATTAGATAGTTCTTGAAACAATACAAAGATACGAGGGTGGTAATGATGATGAAGTTTATAGAACGGTATAAAAGTAAGAAAGAACCAATGTAATAAATTGATGAAATCAGGGTAAATTAATTATCTACTATTAGTTAGAATTAGACAAGAACTCTTGTAGTTTCTAAATGATCACTTCAAATCTTACAAACAAATTCTTAAAAATATGAAATTTCTGTAGTCTGTGAGTCTGAAGAGTATGATCGTGACGTGGTGGCGAAAGTGTGCACGACAGCATCGTTCACGAATTATAAGTGTTGTAACCGAAAAAGTATTTTTTTCTTAAATATTTCAAGAAATACCAATAATTTCAGATTACCTCTTTATAGTGTAGGTATTCAATTGTAAAATAACGTTTATATTTTCACAGAACGAAATACTGCCGACCAAAGAATTTGCATTATTCTTATAAATGGAAGTTATAAAACTTTAAATTTAAGTAATGAATATTAAAATTATTATGTACTAAAGACAGACTGCGTAAAATAAATAACACAAAATAGATGTATAGAATGGGCGGCCTTGTCGATGAAAGTGATCTGTTACATGTAAACTTTGGATATCGTGGATCCTTAGGAAGCATTTAATTGAGAGAAATAATAATGCAATGTAATAAAACACAGTATATCATACTTATAAATAGATACAGTAAAAATATCTAAAACAAGAAGTTCCTTGGTTTCATCAACTTTTAAACATAGCTGAATTAAGCACTTGTAGGATATGTCACCAATTTCAAAATTTTGCAATGTATTTGTCTAATTCGCCAACAAAAACTAAAAACATTTGAAACATATTTCCTGATGATGCTTTTTTTTAACATGACTGAATTGGGTCGATAATCATTTTAGTTATTTTTATCTTTATAACATTGTCAACTCGTTCTACGAGTACATGTGTCATATAAACGTAATTATGGCACCCACCGAGGCTGATTCAAGTCAATTCCTTTATTCGTAAAATCATAAAAAACAGAAAATAGTTTTCGGTGTCCTCTGCAATGATTTATAGCAGTGACGAAAGATAGTTCTAAGAAACTCGTAGAGATGCAGAATACTTACGCATTTCATAATTAATAATGTTACATTTTCTGACTGACTTAAAACATGAAAATACGGACCTGTAACCTGGTCAATTAAAATTGTTGCTTTCAAAAACTGCTATATCATGTACGAATCGATATAATTTAAAACAAAAAATGTATAAGAGTGTGTGATCTATGGCACACTCACTAAGCTTAAATGAAATATACAGCAGAATGAATAATAATAATCTATTAAAGATAAACGATTTTTCAGCTCTTGTTGGATAAGAAACTGGTTGAGCATCCCCGTTAAACACACTTTCGTTTAGTACTTTTAATAATGTGAAAACTAGGTACGAAAGCATCTTGTACAATACCAAACCATTCCTCCTTTTTTTCTTAGCAAAACTTATGGTTCTATATGGTCCAACCATTCTGACATGTATTGAAATTTGACAGCGCTTTTTTCTACTTAACAGATCTATGAAATGAACTGGGGTTGTCACGATCGCAAGCAAAAGCAAAAGTGGGACCAAAGTCTCAGTTGAATCTTTCATAGACTTAATTTTAATACCTTCATAACCTATATAACTAACCCGTCAATGCAAATACAGATCATAGCACATCCCTACGTTATCCAGCAACCAGAACTAACTATTTACAGCACACATTTACCGATACAGCAATCAAGTATTTAACTATACTCCAAACTACATTGTTCTGAGCATTAACCGTGGATAATCACCCTAATAAGTGTAGCTCCACCATGTAATATTGCCACACCAAACTGGACTCTTTACCATCAAACTGAAAGGCCATTATGTCATGAAAACAATTTGCGAAACAGTTTTTGCCCAGAGATTTTAGAAGGACGTCAAAAGCCGTGACGCGCTTACAACATTGTCTCTTGCAGTTAAACTGGCTTTACCTGTAATGGTTATATTCTTGCATAGTCTAGAAGATCCTAATCCTTTAGACATGGAAACCATTAGATGTTTATATAATGAATCAACTGACCGACTTAAATCTAGCTTGCTTAATTAATAAAACCGAGAGATAAACAATATGATGCATACGATTTTTTTGTGTTCCGCATATTGCGGGTCGCTGCGTGTGGCGTATTCGGCCTTCAGTATCCTTGCTCAGTCGATAAAAAAAAATCGATAAAATAATGGAACGAAAGTATGACTACCGCCAAGCCGGGCCTTATATGCCGAAACAGGTCTCTCCAAGGATTTTTGGAAAGACTCAAATGTCAACCAAAATTTTATTTCAAATTAATACTCAGCATATATACCTAAACATTAAGAAATATATAAATTATAAATATATACATGTAAGATTTATATTAATATATATATAAAAACATTCCTTGACCATTCTAGGTAAGTCTTAACACCTAAAGATGAAACATTACATGGCTATATGAATGTATTTACAACTACAGATGAAAACAAAAGGTTTGTGTCACTGAATAATGTTAAACATATCAAAATATGTCAACAACCTTTGTCTTATTATAGAAAGGAGTGTAAATATTCGTCATCTTTATTCTCTGACCGCATCGCGGGACCCAATGACATATGATCTCCATTGTAACAATTTGCACTGTTATAAACAAGATCTTGCAAATCAACTACATGATCTTTATGTAAAATTGGGCTTACTACTATGGATTCTGATATGTTATTATGTTTTACAGAAGTTCCGGAGATCCTTGACAGACTATGGCCGTCATATGAACAGTTTCGGTCACACCACGGATGGGTCACACCATTCAGTTAAGTAGGCCTTGCATTTATACTTCGTAATGGGATGAAAAGTTATGCAAATTACCCACACGTTACCCTTGCAGGATCTTCAGGTACGTTTCTCCAGATATATAAGACTAGGAAGTAAAGAAATCTACATTGACATGCCATGGATGAGTAAGTATTTCGGGTTATTTGAGTTGATCGTCTTCAAGCTGGCGAGGTCAAGGAAAATGTCAGTTCCGGTGTCGTCATTAGAGTAGTAACCGTTAATTAAAGTAAGAGGCTTTTTGAGGCTAAAGTTATTTTGTCAGAATATAAGCGTTCGTAAATAAATAGAATATAAGGAGACAAAGTTCCATAAAAAATAGGTATTATGACTTTCCAACATAAAGGTGAGAGAACATTCATTGCGAGATACAGGATTAGTAGTCATTTTCCTGTTTTGTGCCTTTCTCAGATGATATTAAAGCATGTTTTTGTTGTATATAGACATCATCCTCTCAAGAGATTTCGGCATTTCTTAAAAAACTATTTCGGTTTCGGTTTAACTTAGCGTGACTGAGTTGAAGTTTGTATCTAAACAAACGATTTATATAGCTTAGTGTTTTTCTATTACCCAATCCTCATCGGATGGCTGATCACATACTCGTAATTGGATACGTTGGACGGAAGACCTGGCCATCCTGGCAGGAAGGTGCTGAAGGTTGACGGCATTAGATTCAATGCCATGGATACAGTTTGATGATCACGACTATATTGTTGAATTTAAAGGACGTTGTTGTGACAATTTTGTATTATGTTATGGCCATTCTATGTTTCATTCAGATGTAATAAGTGATAAAGCTGAAAGGTTTTAAATTTGTTTATAAGCGTTAGTCTCTAAAACTAACTATCATATTTGAGTAATTATTTTTGTTTTGGAAAGAGTATTTATTGATGAATATAGGCTATGTGACATCACGCTATGGACCTTAAGAGTAGAGCAGTGACCTTAAACGCAGGTAAATTTGCCGCAAACGCCTAGTAGAGAATATTCTTCTCGATTCTCATCAGTCTTGATGCTATGGAATTAAACATAATGGACTTTATCAGTAAAACTGGTTAATTGATTCTGACTCTAAAACTTAACTCTGAACTAAATAATGCTTTTAAGTAATTAGAATATCTACCTTGTGACCTTGATTTAAAGTCGTAATTACGTTATTGCTTCTACGAACAAAGCAATCGAACAAAATGGGAATTGCTACCCTGCCCGTTGTCACAAAAAGCATAAGTCATAAAATATAGAGACATGCCTACATACGTACATACACACACACACACACAGACAGACACACACACACACACACACACACACACACACACGTTAGACGCCCACATTTCGCAACAATTTAATTGCAAATGGTTATATCAATCATGAGTCATACTTAAAAGAAATTACATTTGGCACTTTTTTATATACCACTCACAATAATATTTTTTTAGTTTCAAACTTAGCAGAGCTTGTACTATGAAAACTAAATTGACTGATAGAATACTTGTGTACATTTTTTGTAAATACACACATAAGTAAGTGTAAGGGACGTCGTAACGACTACTGAAATAATGTATTCAGCCCCAGCAGCCATCTTGTGTGAGTGTGCGTAGACTGTTTGCACGGAATTCAAATATAGTTATTACTTTTGTACGATATCTACTGGGAATGAACTTAATCTTTGACAGCTAATTGCATAAAAAAAATATTTTTTTGGCAGAAAATTCGTATGATTTTCGACTCAGAATGATGGTCTGAACTCGGAATACATTATTTCAGTATTCGTTACGACGTCCCCTTATATGTACACCCATATATACACCCTTTCTATTATACACAGAAAACACCCAAGCTCCAAAAACAAATATTTGCAAATAATACAAACCTCCTTTCTAAGGAGAGGCCTATGTCCAGCAGTGGACTATTAAAGGCTGTTGATGTGATGATTATACAAACAGCAGTCGCATACGCTACCACTTCACCATCGAGACAGTCTAAAACTAACCACTGCTTTACTAACTGGCCTGTTGGTATAGTGGTTGGTGA